AAGGTGTTAAGTTTTAGTTTTATATTAAAACATTATGATTTATAATATACATTTATTTTTCTTTGGACCAAATGTTCTTTGCTTTGTATGTAACTTCACTTTTTCCTTTTCTGTTGATCCGGTAGATAATAAACAAGTCAAGAACGTTGCTTAGTTTATTTCTCTTTTAATGTCTTTCAATATTATACCAATTAATTAAACGATCTACGTGACAAGAAATTTAACAGAAAAGACCTATTGTTCAATTGAAAAAATGACTTATTCACTAATTACTCACTCACTCTATTATTCACTCACTCACTCATCCCATCCCATCAACGCAATCCTCCCCGCCAGCGGTCATCTTAAAAAAACGAGAAATAATGTTTGGAAAGCATTAAAAACGAACCAACAAATAATTTCTAATTTCAAACATTACAATAAAACAGCAATTTATATTAACTTTTAATAATAATATTATTATTAGTAATAATAATAATACTACTACTACTACTAATAAAAATAATAATAATTCTCTCTCGAATGATTTTTAGAGGCACCAACAACACATACACGTGTGAATCCATCCAGAAGTCGTCCTACATGCTACAGAAGGCGTCTTCTTGCCTTCTAAGTCAGTAACTGCGAGAAAGAAACCACGTACCTTAACCAGAACACCATCTAGCCACTCAAGATGTTTACGTGATTTCGTGTTAACATGTTAATAAATTTTGTTTTCGTTGTTATTATAGTTTATGAAGTTAATAAAAGGAAAGTAACACATTAGGCTGGATATTTTTTCAAAAGTTCTCCGTAAATCACGTTTGATGCACATTTGGAGCATTCATTGTTTTACAAAAATTGATCAGAAAAAAATCTTAGTTGGTAGAAAAAAACCTTAACCGGTTGAAACGATGTGCCTGTCTCGAGCAATGCTTTTAAAAAATAATTAAAGAGGGAACTGTTCAGCATAGGACCAGTGGAATGTTTACTTATAATAATTTTGCCTGTGTTTCTGTCTGTATGTAAGTTGTGTGGTGTGTGGATTCGCGGGAGATCCAACCGGAAAAAATCTTCATACACACCTGCATGCGATCATAAGTGAGTGAGTATAATTAGAGAAAATACATAGGCGACATCCTGGATATGAATATCTTGGAGAACGAATGGGTAAACGATGAAAAGTATCTATAAATTGCTCCAGGCACTAAATTCAATGTTGAATCCCAACACAGTTTCTTTGGTTTTATATTTTGGTTTTATATTTTGGTTTTATATTTATTTTATTTATTTTATGGCATTAATGAACGATTCAACGCGTGTTATTTAACTTAACGAAGAGCCGTATGAATATTTATCAGAAGAATTATTTTTTATCAAGATACTGCAGATGACGTAAGAATATGATTTAAATTTCCAAGGTTTAAAATCTAAAAACACAAAAAAATAACTAAATGCTGCATGATAATTATAAAAAATCTTCGAATGGCGTTTAAAAAGTTTGTAGCAGAAGTAGAAAAGTTTTGAAAAATTCTAAGATAATAATAATTTTTTCTGAGTGGTTTAATGAAATAAAAATATAAACTATTCATCATCTTTATCTCGCAATCAATTTTTCTGCTATGAGGGATTATTTCACGAAAATATATAATTTGAGTTGCGAGGATAAAGTGATAATTTTATCATGATACCACATTTAAAGTATCATGATAACGTGACTGGGATACCGCAATTTTTTTATTTTATGCGTGCATCCTATCACGGAGTATGATGACCTCAGTTTATACTTAGACTAGTTTAGACTCAGGTTTATTCAAAAGTATCAGAAAACAAGAATTTAATTGGGAAGATTTATAAAAGATTATATTACATGAAATCATTCATTATAAAAATAATGAAATCTTTGGTTACATAATATGAGTACATCATCATATGTTTACACACAACTACATATATTTTTATTACAACTCATGAGGGGCTAGATAGATAGCAATCCGACTTTGTGAATGAGAAATATTTTAAATTCTTGATTATATATATATATATTATATAAATAATACGTAAATATATATATATATATATATATATAATACGTAAAATGGAAAAGTTAACAAACACAATAACGATAAAAACGCGGTGATATTTATTAACATTTGCATATATCATATATATATTATATATATTATATATATATATATATTATATATATTTTATATATATATATATAGTACATTAGGCAGTTACACACGCATTCGTCCATAGTTCTTGTAGGGTACACGTTCATTTTCGCACAAGTCATCATAATTGCATTCGTGGTCAGCCTTTTTATTTCTTTTTAAACGGGTTATTATTTTGGAAATAAAAAAGGAGAGTCAGACTAACTTACTTGGCTAATTGGTCATGAGTTTTTTTTTTTGGCTGCCTCCATGCGAGTTCGTTTAATTGCATTCTTTATTTCAGTGCTGAGTGATATTTTGCATTTAAAGATATGTAATAGTGTTTATTAATTCAATCAAACTGGTTATGATATTACTATGAATTTTGCGCGCTCTACTCTGGGGAAAGTTAAAGGTTGGTCAACTTTTTTTCTCTAAAATAAATTTATTCGCCATTAATAATCAGTAAAATTATCAGTTTTAACATTTAAAACAAAAGTTTATAGAGTTAAATTTGAGAAATAATTTATTTTGTCTTGTTTTCTTTTGAAATCTCAATATTTTTGGGAATTTAAAATTAATTCCCCTGCGATCCAAGATGCGTTGATGAAATATTAAGCCGGACAGGTGTGCCGCTTGCATTTTTCATCGCACGTTCGCTTTTTGTGACAAATGAAAATGGAAGTTGGTAATTTTTTATTTTTTCATGACGATACGTCTTATTCTTTTAAACTTTGTATGTGGCATCATATTATTTTAAATTTTTGAATGACGTCACCATAAAGTTTGCCTGTGACGTAACGATGCTGTTGATGTTTATTTGAGTTCATTACTATACTTTTTTATTCCATGTTTTTCAATTCTGCGTCTTTAGAGATAGTTACTTAGGAGCATAAAATCTTAGTAGAAAGGTTATTAATTCTATTTTCATGCCTCTCAAATGGAAGCTTGTTAATGATTTTTAAAATATGAATATATTCAAATTATTTTAAATTTATATGTATGTTTTTTTTTATTGTATATAGGTATATACGTATGGGTATTTTGGTTTGTTTCAAAAAGTTTTATGACGAAAGTGACGTAAGGTAAATATTTTCAAGTTTTTATTTAATTCTAAGATTTCAACGAAATGCATGGATGAAAAATCTCAAAACGGTGTGATGCTGCTACTTCCTTTGGCTCTTTTTCACGTATTGCTAGATTTTTGTGTGTTTGTGTGTGTGTTTTCATGTGTGTGTTTGTTCATGTGTGTGTGTTTTCATGTGTGTGTTTGTTCATGTGTGTTTGTTCATGTGTGTGCTGCCTACGTGTTTGCGTACGTGCGTACATTTTGCGTGTGCGTTCAAGTGTGAATGGGTGTTTTACATATGCATGTATGTATGTATTCGCCGTACATAATGTAGGAGCACGTAACATGACTGCATGCGTGTATGTATAACCAAATTTGCTAAAATGAACGGTTTCCATTTTTAATAATTCATGGAAAATATTTATTAAAAGATGGAAAATAACACAATTTACAAAAAGGAACCAAAAAAAATAAAAATGAGAAAAGAAGATGAAATGTGAATGAAAGAAAGTGTAAAAAATAATGGGGTGAATGAAGAAAGGTGACGCAAGAAGGTCATCCATTTATTTGTTCATCTCAAACTGAGTTTTAATTTCAATCAACTCTTAAAAGTTAATTTAGTTTTTTTTTGAAGAGATAACCAGATTCGTCTTTAATTGAAAATTTTGAAAAACTGGCGGTATAGACGTTTAAAATGATTTTTAACTGCTTGATCCTAGACGAAATTGGTTTCTGAATTTGTTTCTATTTGAATTATTCAATTCCGCAATTTTCAAAAAGTATCCATTCAATGAAATTATTAAATTTTATGAAAAAATTAGTCTTTGAGTGAAATATATTGAGAATAAAGAATATTTTGATATTGAAAGAAACTCGTTCGATTGATCTTGGTATTTTTTCCCAGGGGCAGTTGTCTAGGGTAACTTTTTATTTTTATATAATACTGCATTAAAAACTTGTTATTATTAATTTGTAACTACAACAAAAATTAATAACCTAATTATTTTTGTTCTTACAAACAATGTATTAGGCTCATTTAAAATAAATTAAGTACAATTTTTATCTATAACAAGTTACTCTGGAAAACTATGAAATTTAATTAATACCTTTTTTTTACAAAGTGGTAAATTATAAATTTGAGTTAAGAGGCGATGTGGAGGGATTCGCCCAGAGACAGGCTGCACGCACTCAAAATTTAAATAAAACTTTCATGTAATAGTACCATTTATTATTATTTAACAGTAAAATAATCTTTAATTTCAAAAATATACGACAAAATTTGATTTCTAAATTTTTGATTGGTTGACTTTAGACAGGGCACGGACTAGCAATGACATTAATTAATGTCTAACAAGTTGATGTATTGATGCTAATTGACATTTCTTTGAAAGCATACATACACTGAACATGAAATAATTGCTAATTTTGATGTCATCAACGTATCCGCTGCTTAAAAATTTATGAACAAAACTTTATTGTTGTAAAATTTGGTATTGTCTAAAAGTTGAAAGATAATAGTTTGTGAATCATTTTTAATAACAATAAAATGAACAGTAAATAAGGTGCCATCCGTAAGCAGTGAAAGCGGCAATAACATTGAAATAAATACTGATGTGAATAACAATAATATCGTTGATGTAATTATTGTAAAATGTAAGCTATAAAATCATTGCCTTAATTCCAATTGAAACATCAACAGTAACGTAGTTAGTACCGCCTTTGTTCCCACTTAGGCTGCTATTCCACATTAAGCACAACCATTACTACTCTTAACCTAATTTACTTTTGCAAAAATAATGCTGCTGCTACAACTACTGTTACTACTACTACTACTTCTACTTCTACTGCAGTTACAGCTGCTACCACTGCTACGCAACTTTATACACTTAGACAACTCTGTAAACAAATTTGGCACAAAGTGGTAAAATACCGCGTTTCACTTTTAACCAAACAACGTCAACGAAATTGTGTGGGTTCCTGCATTTGTATTCATATAGCGCCTCATTCTGCGAGGTTCTTCGTATATTTAATGATGGAGTTTATTTATAGGATATTTTTCATTACTTTCCATGTTTTAAATTTTTAAACAAATGTCTAATTTGCTTGCAATTGAAAATTTCGAGACAAAATAATTACTCCTAATTGATGAAATATATAAAAAATTTAACACTATAGAAAATTTTATCATTGAAATTTTACTTTTTTGTGTTGTTAACCCACCAATGCATAGTGGGTCTTTTTAGTAACAGCTCTTTTAAATTCATTATCAAATTAGTCTTTGTCTTATTTGAGTTTTTTTTATAGCACATCTCTATAAATCACCCATCTTCACTATTTTGTTTACCTTTTTGTTTCATCAGAAAATTTGTTGAAGTTTTTTATGTTTAAAGTCAGCGATACTGAAAATTTCGATTTTTTGACATGTCTAATCAAAAAAGGTAATAAACAATTTTGATTAAATTTTTTCCTGAAACTTTTAAAAATTTTAAATTGCATTATTATTTATTTAGTTAATTACGTGAAATTGATGATAGAACATCTTGTAGTTTTTTTATAAACACTAAAATTATGACTGTTCCTTTTTCGGGACACTATGCAGTGCATTGAATGGTAAATTTACTAATTACAGATATTCACTCCATGATGTTGTTAGCATGTTAGAAGATGAAAAAGATTTTTTTTCAGCAGATATCATTATGCTACCACCTGATGATCCCAACTGTTCAGATCAAGATAGTGGTCCTGAGGATGGGGAAGGAATTATTGACAATTTATCAAAAACTTTATTGAATTCAAATGCTGAAGCATTAATTTCCAACATTGAGGCAGGCAAAGAAATGCTTCAGAAAGAAGAAATTGATATGCAAATACAAACACCATTAAAAAAAAGAGTGAAAAAAAGTATATCAATTGAAAGAAATTGGAAGAAGAGTGACATTTTGAATGTAGAACCCATACCAGTGTTTTCTGAAAATAGAGAATTTGAGAATTCATCTCCTCACACTCTGTTTAAATTATTTTTTGATGATGAAATAATCAAATTCATCACTGACATGTCTAATTTATATGCTAGTCAGAAGTTGAAGCAGTTGAATGCCACTGAAGAAGAATATAAAGTGACATTAGCGGTTTTGCTCTTATCGGGTTATGCTCCTCTGCCAAATCGACGAATGTATTGGGAACAAAGCAATGATGTTCATAATTTAGCAGTGAGTAATGCCATCAGTGTGAATAGGTTCGAGGAACTTCTCAGATATTTACACACATGCGATAACGAAAAAATTGACAAAAAAGATAAAATTGCCAAAGTTCGACCTCTGTTTAATATGTTAAATGAAAGATTTTTAAAATATTGGCCAGAAGAAACTTGTTTATCAATTGACGAGTCAATGATACCATATTTTGGTAGGCATTCCTCTAAGCAATTTATAAGAGGTAAACCTATCCGATTCGGATTCAAAATTTGGTGCATGAATAATCGTCTCGGTTATTTAGTGAGTTGTGAACCCTATCAAGGAGCCACTGAAGATTATGATCCAGATTTAGGACTCGGTGGATCAGTAGTTAAAAAACTGACATCATGCCTTCCTGATGATAAGAGATATCATTTATTTTTTGACAATTTTTTCACTTCGTTCAAATTAATTGAACGACTAAAAGAAAATCATATTTATGCAACCGGTACAGTTAGAATTAACCGAATAGAGAAATGTCCATTGATGGATATAAAAGAAATGAAAAAATTACCTAGGGGCACATCTGACTATTTTACAGATAGTGATTCGAATATTATTGCGGTTAGATGGAATGACAATAGTGTGGTTTCTATCTTGTCAAGCTGCAATGGGCTGGAACCAATGAAGGAAGTGAAAAGATGGTCTTCAGCAAACAAGAAGCATGTTTTAATATCCCAGCCATATATAATAAATCAATATAATAAATATATGGGTGGAACTGACAGGATGGATCAAAACATTGAAAATTTGCGCACCAATATTCGGATTAAAAAATGGTGGTGGCCGCTTTTTGCTTTCGCTTTGGATTCTAGCATTCATAATGCTTGGTGCATTTCCAAAAAATACTCAAAGCATGAAAATCACACTTATGCTGGGTTCAGGAGAAGTGTTGCCAAAACTATATTTGGGCAAAACCAACCAGAAGATCTGAAAAGAAAATCAGTAAACCGTAACGTTGAAAATGCAATAAAATTTGATGGAAAAGACCATTTCATTGGAAAAATTTCGGATGGACGAAAAAGATGTAAATTGTGCCACAAGAAAGTATCAAAGAAATGTTTAAAATGTGATGTTGCCCTACACTTGGAATGCTTTGAACATTTTCACAGGAAATGATTTACCATGAGTATTAACTCATAACGTACCTTTTTAGGAACACTTTGTTTTTTGATCATAACTTACTTTATTTTTTTTAAATTTCATTTTAATTGGCTTTTTTGATGTTTTGAAACTATGCTAAATAAAATATTTCAAAATCACAAAAAAATTTTAAGTCATGCATTGGAGGGTTAATACAATTTTAGCAAGTTCTGGTTTATGGTTAAAGTTTATGATGTGCGGTTGGGTGTGTGTGTGTGTTTCTTGAATTTGCCATTTTTATTTCTTTTCATTCCAGTTAATTTTGTAATAATATTTTATTATATAAAACCTTTGCTAAATTTTAAATGATGTACCATTTTGTTTTACTGATCGTTGCTAATTACTTTTTTTCCTGCTTTGAACTATTAGAGACCCCTTGAAACAGCATCTGTTACTATAAAAGTCAGCATTTGTTTCTATAAAGGTCAAAAGTCAAAGGTCTATTACACTCTAGGTCCAAAGAAATCAACAACATGCCACAAACATCCTATATGAATACGTGCTAAGGATGCATGTGATAGTCGGGGATCAAAACCGGTTACCGCGAAACAACACTAGGCGACCTTAACCACTAGGCCATCACGCTATCCTTGCTTGAAAAGTGTACTTTTACGATCTTAGTATTGTTACTGAGGAAGTAATAGCCATATACAGTAATGTATTCAAGGTATGTAAAGTTTTGTCTTTAATAAATCTTCGAAGTCTGAACCATTGGAAGTATTAGCCATATACAGTAATGTATTCAAGGTATGTAAAGTTTTGTCTTTAATAAATCTTCGAAGTCTTAACTATTGGAAGCCAAACAAGTTCCTTATAAATTAATGAAGTGGAGTGAATTCTGGTTTAAATAATTAAATTCATAATTTTTATGAATTCTTTATGTGTTATATATTTACATTTTACTTTGTATTGTTGATTTTGAATTTGTATACAAATTGGATTTGAGTTTTATTTCTTCGTATTTGATTATATGAGACATAATTGAAAGTAGAATCATACAAAAAGCCAGAAAGTGAAAAAACTAAAAAAAGAGAGAGAGAGAGAAAGAAAGAGAGAGAAAGAGAGAGTGAGAAAGAACAGAAGGTAAGAGAAAAGGAAAGAAAAAAAGAAAAAAGGTACAGAAAAAATAAAACGAGGAGAAAAATCAGTTAATAAAAAACATATAAGGGAAGATATAGCTCAAAGGTATAGATGATCGGAAACAAAGGTAGGATTTTTGTGATTTGGGTTTCATAATTGGTGATTTTAAATTTAAATTCCAACACAACTCATTGCGATAAAATCCAATTTTGCTTGATTAAATTATTTCTTGTGTTTAATTTGTCTGAAATGAATGGAGAATGTTACAACTGGTAACAGGCAGATCATTGCGCCAAAATAAAACAAGAAACGTTAATAACATTTACATTCACGGTGATATGTCTTCCATATTCTTTCACAACAAGCCAATTTTTTTAATTTAAATGCAAAAACTTTTATAAATAACTCTTTATTATTTATTTATATTTTTGTCATAAAAAAATCTGAATTTTAATTCAATTTTAATAAATGATAAAACCCTTGTCATATAACTTTTACACTTCCTGATTAAATTCAAAGAAATTTTTTTTGGCATTGTTTGAAACGCAAAAACACCGAATTCGCCGATGCAAAAATGTTTGATTAGTGTTTCTAACTTCAAAGTTAATTAATCTCTTATGCAACGCACATTTTTTTAAATGCCTAATTTTTATTTCGCGCAAAACTATATTAGAAATAAAATTGAAGTAAAAAAGTGACGAAAAAAATAATCGTTCCATTATTAACATTGAAAACATCAAAATATTCATCGATTAAAATGATTTTTTACCAAAAAGAACTAAAATATTAATTAATAATTAACAAATAATGATGATGCAGTTATAAAAAATTAATTATAAATTCAAACATTGAAAGAACTTTTGTTTTTGAAACAAGATCCAGCCCACAAGACCATGCAAAATAATCGCCACACACAAACGCACAAAACCACAGACGGTCGCAAAAATATTTCCCGCCTTTGCTAATTGTTAATAAAAATGTAAATTTAGGCTTCTATCAGCGACGCGTTCTCTGACCGCCAGTCCACACGTAACATGCCTCTCTTTACTTTTCAATTACCATCCACACACTGACTAATCGTTCATTTTTTTTCTTTCGATTTTCATCATCATCGCCATTCTCATCGTCATCGTTATTGCTATCTTAAACGTCATATATACCATTATTATCATCATTATCAGTCTCAGCATCATCATTTTAACCATCATAAACCAAAATATCATTATTATCATCATCATCACCAACCTCATCACAAACATCACTATTATCATCATCGTCGCCATCATTATCTGCATTGAAACGTTTTTATCAAATCATCGCCACACGGGGCTACGCATAGCCACACATAGCCACATTTGCGTACATCGCATACTCTTTTTAAAAAATTTCACTTCTTCAAATGTTGCCAACACACATCATCTCAGGTTTAATCAACAGATTGTTCTATTTTGTTCATTCAAATCATAAATACGAAATGTCATATATTTCGGAGAAATTTTTTTGAAATGTAAATTAAATTCGCATTTACTTTTACAATAACATTACATTACATCACATTAACATTACATTTACATTACATCAACATTCATATTACGTTAACATTACATTAACGTTGACTTTTACATTTCCATTCCATTACAGGATATTTTTGATGATAATTTTAACGAATTTGAGTGATATACCAATGAATCTAATCCATCCGTCCGTCCATCAATCCATCAATTCATTCCATCATTCATTCATTCAATAATTCATTCTTTCATCTATCTATCAATTCATTCATCATTCAATAAACAAATCAATCGGTGAATTAATAACGTTTTGAAAGAATTCATTTGTACGCATTGTTTCCTATGCTGTCTGTCAGCCTGGTCTGTGTAGATAAGACCTGAAATTTTTTTTTTATTTCACGCTATATATTCAATTTACAAGGCAATTATTTGTTCTAAAAATACATTTATATATTATTTATATGTATATTTTTTGACATGACTTTATATTATGTGTGTATTGTACATTGATGTATAAGATTTTTGAATTCGTTTTGCTGAATGCTGATAACAATAACTTTGTTGGAAACATTAACATATTAGTTGTAACATTTATCTTTGTTCGTAGAAATTTTTGTCAAAAATTATACAAATTTATAAATTTGTCAATGTCAACCAGTCAGCAGAAACTTTGCTCTCTCTCTCTCTCTCTCTCTCTCTCTCTTCCTCTCTCTCTCTCTCTCTTCCTCTCTCTCTCTCTCTCTTTCTCAGTGTGTTTGTGTGTGTGTTTGTAGATGTGTGTGTGTGTGCGCGCGTGTGTGTTTGTGTGTGAGAAATAATTTTTTCTCGTCTTTGCCAATCGTGTCAAACAATTTCACTTCTTGGACTTCTTCAAAATTTTTCAATACCTTTAAAAACGTAAACAATTTTGTCCACTAGAATATTTTAAGAGCGTTAACAGTTGTTGCAATCTCAAAATCTTCCCATCAGATGAAAATGTCAATCTAAAATGAAATTAATATGAAAATATTTTATCTCAAGTTATAATTTTAGTGAAATTAATACCACAAAATCAATTTTGTCTACTTAAATTTTTAAAATGTTTTAAACTCACAAAATTTTACCGAAAAAAGCTTGCGAAAATATTTTAAGTTTCTCATCCTCTCTGAAACAATAATCTTTTTACTGAATTATAATAACAAATTTTCAAAATCAAATAAAATATATAAATATTGAAATTCGAACCATGATTCGCTTTCACGATCATAAAAATATTGGTATCGACGGAATTTTCGTTCCAACGCAAACGTCACGTAACGAGAAATAATTAGCTACGCTTGTTTACACGGCGAGTTGGAAGACTTCAAAAGAAATTGCCAAAAATTGATGCTGATGAATTTTTAAAGCAAGAACAAACAAAAAAATGTTACTTTGAGTTTTTGGGTTTCTAACATTTTTGCGTCTCAAATATTTCTCCATCTCCAGTGTGGCTGACATCATTGAGCGGGTTTGAAAAAATTTGGCGACGAGGATACTTCAGATTAGACTGAAAAATAAAGACTGAAAAAAGACTAAGTAGATTAGCTGTCTGTAGCAATCTTCATGAAAGAATTTGTTAATTTTTCAAAAGAAATGTATTTTTTGGAAGTCAAGAAAAAATCAATTTTAAAAATAAAGGTTGACAAACTCTAAAAAAAATGTGATCTAATTTTTTCCATTCAGAAAAATATTGCAAAGCTCCATGCACCCTGAGACAGATTATCCAACAAATGTGATTGATGCTCCGATCAATCTGATGCATTCACATGCAATGCATGACAGTGTTGCACAATCCTTTTCTAGGCACATTAGCAAACACATCAAAAAACACATCAACAAACACATCAACAAACACATCAACAAACACATTAACAAACACATCAACAAACATATCAACAAACACATCAACAAACACATCAACAAACACATCAACAAACACATTAACAAACACATCAACAAACACATCAACAAACACATCAACAAACACATCAACAAACACGTCCACACAAAAATATACGTATTAGGCCCTAATCACTTGAAATGCAGCTTGGCTGTGTGCTTTGATGTTCTATGTAACATGCGGGACAGCATCGATACTGAAACCGCGTAACAAGCTCGTTTGTCGAACATTTTTTAGTTATTCATTTGTGTTTTGTCAAACTTCTTTCGACTGTCACTGATGCTTTCAACGTTAGTGTTGCGTTGGGCAGCGTTCATACTTGAAATGCAAATTATTTATGGAATGTTATGTTTCCTAGCAGGTTAGTTGTTTGATTTTGAGGCTAAATTTATTAAGTTGATTTTAATTTATAGATATTTTTACGTTAATTGTTTTTTTTTGTGGAGACTTTTTCACTGTTGTTGTTTTACTGTTAATTGATGAAATGAGTTTTGAAATCTGTTGAATATTTTGTTCAATTTTACAAGTGGAACAACACAGTTCACGTGAACAGACTTAATTTATAATTGCTCCCTCTTCCAAACATTATTAAATTGAAATTCAATTGCATAAACTTTGCATTCCATCTTAATACACAAAGAAATTTTTTGGTAACATTTTTATTTATCCTTAATTTAAAAATTCAAATTAATTTTTTTAATTAACCTTATTTTAGTTGGTGAAAAATTCAGTTTTGTTTTTCCAAATTAAAAGAAAAGTATGGCAGATTTTAAACAAAAGGCAATGAAGACGTAGAGAAATTAAAACTTTTGTGTCTTTTTGTTTGTGACTGTCTCTCTCTTTCTCTCTCTCTCTCTTTCTTTCTCTCTCTCTCTCTCTATATATATATATACATGCGTGTGTGTATGTGTGTGTGTGTGCATGCTTAGGTGCAACTGCGTATCTTTACACAATTGTCACTGTATAACTGTATATACATTTGTGTAAGTAAATCAGTGTATATAAACTTGTGTTACATCCACTTATTTTGGGAATGTAATATTTTTTTCTTCGCATTCATGTGTGTGTGTGTACGTGTGTAAGCGCGCGTGTGTGTATATGTTTGCGCAGGGGCGGATCCAGGTGATCTAGTAAGGGGGGGCGATTTTTATCCATTTTAACCCACAACTGCCTGCAAGGCGGGCAAGCCCAAAAATAAAAAAAACGTTTAAATTATTTTTCAATTTGCCCTTTAAATAACAATCTTTGTGACTAAGACATTACGACATATATGTCGCGATCGTATCAGCATCGGTAAAGACGGTGCAAGTGTGCACGCTCGCGGTAGCTCGCACTCCCGTATCATGTCAGTAAACTTAAATCTACTCTGTTCTATTAAAAAGAGTGATGTAGTAATCATATTATTTACTACGGATCCCATTATTGTAGTGTTAAGTAATCCTTTTAAATATGCACTTTTTAATTTTATATCACTATTCACTTTTAAACAGTCTAACTTTCGTTTTCAAGCGCCATGGTTGTGTATTGTGTTGTGTTACTTAAAAACGACAAAAATAGTAAATACAAGTTACTTTTAAATTAAAACATTCATTAATTATTGTTTATAATACTATAAAATATTAGGAACAATTACAACAAACCATTATCATCGGAAGAAAATGAAGAGAACAAATTTTTTACAACCACAGAGTACTTTGGATTCATTTTTTGTGACGTTGAAGAGAAAAAAGTCTGTTGAAGCATCTACAACTAATTCTACTGTCACTACTGAAGTTGGTGGAACAACTAAACTTCCACTTCCAACCACATCAGCAGAAGCTTCAACAAGTAATAGTATTTCTACTGAACATGTTGAACATGAGATAACAGAAACAAGTAATAATATGGACAGCAACAGCCGGAATATGAATGTCAATTCAGTAGTCATAGCTCATGATAGTCTTTTTTCTGAAAATGAACAGATTTCAACTGAGACTGGAACAGCTGAAATTGCTAAGGCATTTTCTAGTAAGATTTTAAATGCTGGGTTTATCAATGATATTGGAAAATTTGTTGGAACATTTATGGATGATTTGACAAAAAAAAGTCTGTTAGAATCGCCATGGAAGCCACTAGCTGACTACAAAATGCCACATTCACTTCACAAGAAGAAAAATAAACAAGAAAAGCGATATCTTAATCATTCTCATCTGGAAAAATATGAATGGCTAGTTTATTCAGATAATAAAAAAGGATTGTACTGCAAATATTGCTCATTATTTTCATACCACCTGACTGCAGGATCTCAAAAACAAATGGAACTTCAGAAGCTTGTTAAACAACCATTACAAGTGTTTGCTAAACTGTTTGGCAAAGATGGAGATTTAACAATGCATGACAAAGCAACATACCACAAGGAAGCTGTTGAAGCAGGGAGGTGTTTTTTAAAAAACTATAATGAACCAGCAATAAATATTGTAAACAGAGTAAATGCTTAACGGCTTCAGCAGGTTTTAGAGAATCGTCAGAGATTGATACCTATTGTGGAAACAATTATATTTTTAGGAAGGCAGAATATTCCATTCAGAGGACACAGAGATGATGGCAGTATATTAGACAAAGATGATGAAGATTCTGATGTGATTAAAAATGAAGGTAATTTCCGAGAATTGCTAAAATTTAGAGTAAGCAGTGGGGATTCAAATTTAGAAAATCATTTAAAAACGGCTAGAGCATCAGCAACCTATATTAGCAAAACCACACAAAATGCGTTAATTAAATGCTGTGGGGAAGAAATATGTGAACAAATTTTGAGTCGCGTTAGAGAATCAAAGTATTATGCTATTATGATTGACGAAACAACCGATGCATCACATAAGTCGCAAATGACTATAATATTACGTTACTTGTTGCCTGATGGATCAGTTCGAGAAGATTTTGCAGGATTTGTTGATCTACATGACAACAATTACCAATCTGATATTACTGCATCAATTGACACTGAACCTATTCTTGACGGCAAAATTATTGGTCAATCGGTTATAAACATGTTTTCAAACAAGTTCCACCTTTCTCTAGAAAACTGTGTTGGTGTGAGAACAGATGGTTGCAGTGTTATGTCTTCGTTACAAAAAGGAGCAGTAGTTGAAATTCAAAAAGTTGCAGTGAATGCAGTCTGGTGTCCTTGTTATAACCATGCTTTAAATTTAACTTTATCAAAAAGTTCGAATGTACAAGCAATAAGAAATTGTTTGGGTGTTATTAGTGAAGTAGTTGCTTTTTTCAATGCTTCTGCAAAACGAAATTTTATAATAAAGAACATGATAAATTCACAACTGGTTTCACTCTGCGAAACACGATGGGTTGAGAGACATGATGCATTGCTGATGTTTAGTATTGAACTTCCACAAATAATTGATGCGCTAAAGAATATATCTAAATGGAATGACAGAACAACTTCATCAAAAGCAACAACTTTATTAACAGCAATTAGAGAAAGTGATTTTATTGTGTCCTTAGGCTGTGCTGTGTATGTATTCTCTCTAACAAAGGGCCTCAGTGAATTGTTTCAAAAAAAAGTTTAAATTTACATGATGCAGAAAATTGCATTAAAGACCTGTTAAATGTTTTACAAAAAAAGAGAGAAAACTGCGAAGAAATGTTTTTGGAAATTTTTAGAGCAGCAGAAAAAATAATAATTGAAAAAGATGGCACTTTTACCTACAAAAGATTTGTGCATCGACAGACATGCCCTGAAAATGTACCTTCTGATTCATTGGAAGAATATTACAGGCGATCAGTTTATATCCCTCTTCTTGATGCACTGATATTGGATATAAATACTCGTTTTTCTAAAGAAAATTTGCAATGTCTCCAAATCTATTCTTTGATGCCAGAAAATATTATTAAACTAAATCATAAAGATGTTGTCGAATCTGTTTCAGCAATCAGTAATTTCTATGGTACCATTCTTGGACTTAGTACCCAACTTGAATTTATATCGGAAGTTGAATTGTGGCAGAGCAAATGCTTTAGAATGAACAAGGACGGACGAGGAGTCAAATCAATGACTACTGATCTTTCTGTTGTTTTTCATTTGTGTGACCCCGTACAATATCCAATCACTCAGAAGTTGTTCCGTATTATTAAAGCATGTCCAGTTAGTGTTGCCAGTGCTGAACGTAGCTTCTCAACTCTGCGAAGAATTAAAACATGGCTAAGAACACGAATGACAGAAGACATATTAGTCGGATTGGCACTACTTAATGTACACAGAGACGTTTTAGTAAATGTTGAAAATATAATTGAGCGTTTTGCGAAGTCAGGAAATCGTAAAATAGAATTCGTTTTATAAATTGTTATTAGTCAACCTATCAAGGTAGTAGGTACCTCGCTAGTCTAATAAAATAAATAAACCCATTTTTTAAAACACTTATAGGATTAAAAAAAAGAAAATAATTTTTTTATATTTATATATGTACTCATATGTATATATTGACTATGTTTGATCCAAATCATTACATTTATTATTTTATGGCATTAAAAGTTGAAAGTTTTTGATGACATTGCATGCTTTCTTATAAACAGCAATAAAGAGTTGACAAAAATAGACTAGAAATTTTTTTTTTTCAGTAGGGGGGGGCGATCGCCCCCATCGCCCCTCCTATGGATCCGCCACTGTGTTTGCGTGTGTGAGTATGCGTAGGATTTAAAGTGGTTTCTATAAAGAGAAACAATGGTTGATGACTTTTCATTAAGTTTCAAACAATGGCCGTCCATTCTTTAAAAATTTGGTGAAAGTGAATACTTTTCAACTTGAAAGTCATTATTTCCTTGTAGAATTACGCAATTAAAACCTTTTCAGTTTTCATTATCTGTTTTTCATAATGTATTGTCTATAATATAATAGTATGTATGCATATGCAAATGTATATTTGCATATGCATACATACTGTTGTATGAATGCATATGTCATTGGATGAATGAACTAACTGTCTGATCTACTTGATGTATGTAGTCTTAAGGTGTTGGTGTAATTGTGAATCATACCTCGTCAGATGAACGAGTTTGCGTTTGAAAATTATTATAAATTTTATCAATTCAATCACTTAAATGATACAATTCACTCATACTTGTTGATGCATTGAAAATTTTAAAAGACATTTTTGTTTCATAAAGTGATTGGAGAAATAAGTTGGAGATAAAAAAAAATTAGGATCGACTGGATTTTTTGAAAAGTTCAATCGAGTTGTTTTAGCGAAAAATGTAATTTTGCTTTTGTTATTTACCGAGAAAGAATTAGAAAGGATTTGTTTGTAACTTTGTTAATGTAATTTCGTTGTCATTTGTAGGTGAATTGAGATCTAGGAAAATATTTACTTTCAACGAAAGGGCATTCATTGGAAGTTCTTATTTGTGGCTATCGGCTTTTAAGTTTTTTTTAGGTCTTGCATTTCAAAAAATTAATTATTTATTTAAAATTTTATTTGCGGAAAATTTTTTGTATTTTGAAAAAAAAGTTTAAAAACTAACTAGCAGACATGAAAAAAAATGTTTTTTATGCTTTATTTAAATTTACTAAAAAAAATCATGCAAATTACAATAGCGAAATAAGAAAAAATTTCAAAAGATGAAATAAAACAGAGTGAATATTTTTTAATTTTTTAATCTCCAACAAGATCACAAACACAAAAGAGCTGCCACATGCACTTGTTGGAGTTGGCAGTGCTTTGTTGCTGATGTTGCTTTTGACGTTGTTGTTGATGTAGTAAGATGTTTTTGTTGATGTTGTTGTTTTTGATGTTTTTGTTGTAGTAAAATGTTTTTGCGGATTTTGTTGTTGTCGTATGATGCCTTTGTTGTTGTAGTAAAACGTTTTTATTGATGTTGTTGCTAGATGTGCTGTTGGTGTTGATGTGAAATGTCGATATGAGATGTTGTTGTTGTTGATGAATAAATGAAATTTTTCAATTTTAATATTTAAATATGCAATGTCTTGCTGTTGTTGCTGTAGTTGTACGTTGAATCAGCCATGTAGTGTTGCAGATTGTTTTCTTGCCGCTAATGTCACCCATGTTGCATGGAATGATATTACTTTCACTGAAAGGTAGGTATCTCATTCAAATGTTGCTTCAATCTGTAGTTAAATTAAATCCTCCGGAATGGTGCGATAACGTACAAAATGAAGCTACAACACCTGTTGGCGTCGTGATTGAAGCACTCCCAACGAGTTAGAGACGACGAGATTGTTGGTACATATTGACTTGGTTCAAGTACAGATAGATTCACAATTGTCTTCAGCAATTGTCATTAAGCATACGATTGTCTGCCTGCTTGTTCTATTTACAATGAAAAATGTAGTAAATTAGTTTATTAATCTAATTATTCTGCTATAAAACTAACCTCTTTTGTAAGGTTAAAAGGTGATTTAGAGTGACTTTGTCAGAAAGTAAGTTTAACTTTGATGTAAGATTTTTAGGCGTTGTTTTTTTGCTGTTGCATGTCGCCGATCTAATCGTTTTGTTGTTGATTCTGTGAGATCATGTGTTAATTTTAATGTTCTTATGAGACAGTTCGTTCATCTTGCTCTCTGATACTAAACCTTTAATATTTTGCTTTCAATTGTTGTTGATTTTATAAATGTTGTTTTTATTATTTTATTTTTTATTATAATCCTGCGGTTTTTTTGCTTCAGAACTCTGTTAGTGGCGTTGGCTAATGTAAAATGCTGGAAGGCAAGGTTTAGAAATATATGAAAGAGAACAAAAAATTAAAATCATGAATTGCAACGATGGTTCTAATGAATTTTTCATTTTACTCCAAATTTGCTGGATGTAAAGAAATTTTTTTTCTCAATAAACTTCCATCTCAATAAGCGCAAATCGTGCAGCAAAATGTTTGGGACAAAGATTTGACATGCACCGCAAAGCATGCGACCCTGATCTGGTCATGATTAGTAGTAACAGCTTTTTCTAGACAAATTAATAATTAAAATTTGCGATTTTTAAATAATACACATTTTTGAACAAATTTAATTGTTTTATTTCTTGAATATCTTAAATAACATTATTGAATTATTAATTAACATTTTGTTTAATTGTAATTGTCTGTTCTTTTTTCTGACCGGGCAAGTGGCCTGTGCAGTCCTCTGGTCAGTTGTCTAATAAATAGAAAATAAATAATAACATTATTTTTAGCTAATTTACAGAGCTTCTTTGTATTAATCGTTTAGAATGTTCATCAAAATTTTACACCTCCACCAGCTACCACACAGGCTGTTACATGCTTCGCCTTGCACTTTCTTTTGTTTTGGTGGTTTTCTCAAGGTTTTAATTTTAGTAAGATTATTGTGATCCTACCCATAAAATTATTTACCAAAGTATAGTTTGCGAAATCAAACGTCATTATAGTTTATGAAATAAATTTTCTTTTAGTTTTTTAAAATCATAAAATGTAGGTTCAAAATCTATATCTCATAGGATGCTACTTAACATGTCGTTGGCATTAAGTACATTTTCTTAATGGAATGGAACGTGATTAAAAAGAAAAAATATGTCCAACTGGAAGCAGAAATTTCAAATTTAATAAATATTAAAGATGCCTCCCAAATGCAAATGACAATTTTTATAGTAATCATAGTCGTCGTTGTTAAAAAAATCAAAAAAATAATAATATTATATAATATAATAATAACAAATAATAATAACAATAAATAATAAATAATAATATATAATAATAAGTAACTTCAATTGACAATTAGACAAGACAGTCGTACCAGCCATCCCCAATTAATGTCAATCAATCAAACAACATGCGTGAAAGTTAGAAATGGCTTGAAACAATTTTTTATAAAATAATAACAACTCATCAGTTGTCATTTGTAGAGAACTGCCTACTGCTATGTAGTTCTTCATTGACCTGGTAGCGTTAGAAAATCCACACTGTTATATAAATCTATCTCATGTTATGATGATGTTACAAATTCTATCGAGGCAATGATTTGTAGGTGGGATAGGTAGGGTAATAGAAATCTAAAAGAATTATAAGATGCAAGGTTATCTTTAACTGGCTTTAGGTATATTTTTTTGAAATTGGAAAGTTTACGGTTAATATGAAGAATAAATGTGTTATACTGAAGGAATTGAATTTAAATAAAGTTTATATAACTACTAACAAAAAACATATCAGAATGAAAGTTAAAATGATAAGACATCGAGCATGCCCGGCCATCTTAAAGGATGTTTATCGTAAATGTGTTAACTGTTAATAAATTTAAACAGTGTAATTAAACTATAGTACCATTGAAATATATTGAATTTATATGTGTGTCTGTGTTTCAAAATTAAAAAGTTTCCAATGCAAATAGAAATAAAATTAATCAACGAATTAAATAAGAATTTTATTCTTGATTTCAAAAAAACATCACTTCATTAAACAATCGCAAGAGTCTATAAAATAATTATAAAACACAGAAATGACATTTTATCAATTGATTTTTGATACAAATGATGATTCAACGTTTTGCAGATAATAGAAATTAAGTGACATGTCGACACGAGAGAACGTTTTAAAAGGTAAATGAAGAAAAAAAGTTTGATTTGCGTGGCGTGCTATGAGTTCGACGTGCCGGACAAAACCATCATTAGCGTTGACTCGCCTGTCCCTCGTCACCTGACATGAAGTCATTCCTGGAGTTTTGTTTCAGTTTCGTCTTTTCGTTTTTGGCCGTTTTGTAAATGTTGAATAGAACAGCTTAAAAAATATATTCCAGCTTCAACAAAATTTTATATCGTAACGACGTTTTTCAATCATCAAATGTCAGCAATCGACTGATTTGAAAATGAACGATCGACTTCATGGTCCTCTAAAAACAATGAACATAAGGCTTTTGACAAATTATTTAAAGGAAGTAAATTAAATAATAATTTAGCGTACAAATAAAATGATAATAATAATAATTATATAATAATAATAATAAATAATAATATATGTAGAAATAAAAAAATGGGATACGTGAAACTATCTTCCAAATTTTCGAGAATTGTTAACATTGCAAGCACCACTACTACTTTAGCGATATCCGTGTATGATAATTGTAAATTGTTAATTTTTATAATTGTATAATAAATTATTTGAATTTAAAAGATCACTCAGACGGAAAAACACAAACATTACACACACAATACACACGTATACCTTGACAACCGAACTACACTTGCACATACACACAAACACAACTACACACAAACATACACACACAAACACACACACACACATACAAACACACACATATTACACACACAAACACACGAAAACACACACACATTTACACACACAAACACACACACAAACACC